CCCAGTTCCCCACTGGTGGCCAGGAGGGACCTGGCAACCAGTGTTCCCTCTAAGCTGAGTGAGTGTGAGCTAGCTCACCGTTTTGTAGCCTCCGGCTCACACATTTTTGTCTTTGCTCAGGAAGGAGGGCTCCAGAGCAAACTAATTTATGCAGTAGCCAAATTGCTTGCTCACCACTTTAATGCCAGCAGCTCGCAAAGTAGGATTTTTGCTCACAAGACTCCACAGCTTAGAGGGAGCATTGCTGGCAACCCTACCAAATACGCCTTCTGGTGCTAGCAACTCAGAACCCCTTTAAGTCCTGCTTTCCATCTTCAGACAAAGAAGTAAGATAAATGTACAGTTGTTTCACTGAGAGCCAGTTTGGTGTAGTGGTGAAGTGCACAGACTCTAATCTGGGAGAACCGGGTTTGATTCCTCGCTCCTCCATGTGCAGCTGCTGGAGTGACCTTGGGTCAGTCACAGGTTCTCTCAGAGCTGTTCTCTTAAGGGCAGTCCTCGAAAGAGCTCTCTGAGCCCCACCTACCTCACAGGGTGTCTGTTGTGGGGAGGGGAACGGAAAGGAGATTGTAAGCCGCTCTGAGACTCCGAGTGAAGGGCGGGGTATAAATCCTATCTCTTCTCTTTTCTTCTACAAGTGGCTAATCAGTTGATTATTACCAGGGCTCTTTTTGTAGAAAAAGCCCAGCAGGAACTCATTAGCATAATAGGCCACACCCAACAGCAGAAACTCATTAGCATATTAGGCCACACCCCTGACAGCACAGCTCATTAGCACATTAGGCCGCACCCACATGTCACCAGAAGTGTGGTCATCCAGCCACACCCACTCAGGAGCCAGCCGGAACTCCGTTCCTGTGCGTTCCTGCCCAAATATAGCCCTGCTTATTACTATTATTTGCCCTTTTGGTAGCCAGCATTAGTGTGCCCTGAGATGGGGCACCTTCCAGGGCCCAGAGTTTCTGGCAGGGCCCACTGCCACAAAAACCCCTCTAATCACACGCTGCCAGGTGGCGCTCCTGCTGTGCAGAGTGGTGATACGCTTATCTGCACACACCAGCCAGCACCATTGGAGAAAGGGCATGTGGTCAGTCGGAAGGCTCACAAACATAAGCGGGGAGGGGGGAAGGAAACACAGGCAGGTGGGGATGTGGGTGGGCTGGAAGGAAGCATGAGTTGGGGGTCCTTTTGCTGGATGACAGGGTGTGCCCAGGGCCCCCCAAACCCTGGAACCAGCCATGAAACGATGGATTGGTTCAAACCAAATTGCAAAGCTGTGGTTGACTTAGTTAGTGCAATTATCCAAATGCAGGCTGCTTCACGAGTCACGGTTAGTTAGGGTCTATGAAACCAGGACTGGAAACAACGGCTTGCTTTATTAACCACAATTAGTCTCAGTTGTGGTTTCGCCGTGATGTAAAAATGCAGACATCCAGACCTCCTCCTGCCTTGCTATTTGGCGATGCTCCCCCTTGCTACGGAATCCTCTGGCCAGTGCAAAGGCAATGGGAAGCCTGCGTTTGACAAGGCAAACCGAGATCTGAGGGATCATGCATGTGCTGGTCAAATGTGTGTTCTGCCAACGCACACTATGTGCAATCCTACCAATGCATGTGGTTGCCATGTTGTCTGAAGGGAGCAATGTGCTGATTTTTGCACACACGTACAACCTCTGCATATTCTGCATGAAACCCTGATTTTTCAGGGTTCTTGATTGTGTGCATCGAACCTGATCCACACATTGCCCCTTTCACACAGTAGGGCCACCATCCATACTGGGAGGATTTACATGGAGTTTCCAGCCTCTCGGTACACATGGACTGTATGGGCAGAAGGTTTGGTGTTCTGTCTGAACTGAGTCCGTGTTGAGAATTGCAAGTGCAGACAGACAGATGGTGGTGGTGGAAAGTGTCCTCAGGTCACAGCACTTCCTTGGTGGTCTCCCACCCAAGTACTAACCAGGGCTGACCCTGCTTAGCTTCCAAGATCTGATGAGATCAGGCTAGCCTGGGCCTTCCAGGTCAGGGTGGATGGATGGATGGACGGACGGACAGACGGACAGAGAGACAGACAGACAGACAGACGATAAATGGTGGTGGTGGAAAGTGTCCTCAGGTCACAGCACTTCCTTGGTGGTCTCCCACCCAAGTACTAACCAGGGCTGACCCTGCTTAGCTTCCAAGATCTGATGAGATCAGGCTAGCCTGGGCCTTCCAGGTCAGGGTGGATGGATGGATGGATAGATGGATGAGAGAGAGAGAGAGGTCGATTGATTGATTGATTGACTGATGATGGGTAGAGGATGGATGGATCATAGATAGATAGGTAGATAGATAGATAGATAGATAGATAGATAGATAGATAGATAGATAGATAGGGAGAGATTGATTGATTGATTGATGATAGGTAGATGATGATGGATGGATGGATGGATGGATGGATGGATGGATGGATGGATGGATGGATGGATGAGAGAGAGAAAGAGAGATGACAGAGAGGGAGAGAGATTGATTGATTGATGATAGGTAGATGATTACAGATGGATGAATAGATAGATCAGACAGACAGACAGACAGACAGACAGATAGATAGATAGATAGATGATGGATGATGGATGATAGATGATAGAGAGGGAGATGATAGAGAGGGAGAGAGAAATTGATTGATTGGTTATAGGTAGATGATGATGATAGATGGATGATTGATGGATGACAGGTAGGTAGGTTGATGATAGATAGATGATTGATGGATGGATGGACGGACGGACAGACAGACAGATGAAACACAACTAGATGCCTAGACTTGGGGAACCATCCACCTCCACAGCAGGGGTCTTGATGACAACTTTAACAAACCTGACCGTACTTTTCGAAATCCCGATGAGCTCGTTAGTAAATTTTTTCCCCCAGTTTTACAGAAGAAGGATTTTCTCCTTTTTTTATATACTTTCCAAAATATTTTCACATATGCATGAATCTTACTGGGTTCTTTCTTTTTTTTGCCACTCACCTTTTTTTCCCCGTAATTATTTCTGTTCAGTTGCCCTACCCCAGGCTGTGATGGCAGCGGACACATCACTGGGAACTATGCTTCTCACCGCAGGTTAGTCACCTTACCTACCCTACTCTTCCAGGCTCTAACAACCTCTTTAAAAACCTTTTTTTTATATTAAAAAAAATGGTATGGATACTTTGGTTCTATTCCCTCTTCCCCTTTCTATGTCCTGCCCTTAGCTTTTCTTTTATTTTTCTTCTTTTTTTTAGCTTACCCAAGTATTCCATCTCTTCTTTTTCAGCCTTTCTGGTTGCCCTCTTGCTGACAAGAGCCTCCGAAATCTCATGGCTGCCCACTCTGCTGACCTCAAGTATGTTTGCGCTATACTCGAATCTCCGTCTCTCTCTCTCTCTCTTCTTTTTGCTACCTGCTCTAGCTTCAGTCCCCCTTTCCTTCCCCTTTCTGCCCTCTTTCCTTTTTGAAAAGCCATTTGGGGAATCTGCCTGTAGGTCAACTGCCAATTCCCATCACAACTGGTATGTCAAAGGGGTAACCTCAGAGCGGGGGAAAGGTTGAAGGGAATTTTGTTGACGGTAGGAACCAGTGTTCCCTCTAAGCGGAGTGAGTGTGAGCTTGGCTCACAGTTTTTTAGCCTCCGGCACACACATTTTTGCCTTAGCTCAGGAAGGGATGGCTCCAGAGCAAACTAATTTATGCAGCGGCCAAATTGCCGGCTCACGACTTTAATGCCAAGTAGTTCACAAAGTAGAATGTTTGCTCGCAAGACTGTGCAGCTTAGAGGGAGCATTGGTAGGAACCATTGACATGGAACAACTAGATTTGAGTCTGGTAGAACCAGGCCCGTAGCCAGGAGTTTGTGGCTTGTGGGACAAATTTTTCTTCTGGTGGGGCTGACGTTCTCAGGGCAGAAAGAAAAGCCACTTAGCCAACAGAAAGCTGTGACCAGGATAGATCTCTAAATTGCAAACTGTCAACCACTTTAGATGACAGTTCTCAGCTGCTGCGGGTTCATCACTTCTGCCAGCCTAAGCAACAATTCTGAGAGCAAGTGGGGGTGATGACTTCTATAGCCAAGAAAGCTAACACTTAGGCAGAAAAACTCTCTTAAAAAAGACCGGTTTCTTGACACAGAGTGAGAAGGGATCCTAGAGGTCACCCACCCCAACCCCCTTGCTCAGTGCGGGAATTAGTCAACTACAGCACCCCCCACTCTGCTTAAAGGAGCGCACGCCTTTAAAAAAAATGTTTGAAAAGTATTGAAAAAAGCATTTACAGGAGAAATTCTTGTGGAGCTGTGCCTTTAAGAAAGGGGGTGGAGCCCCCAAAAAGAAGAGTAGAACCTTCTGGACCAATTAATTTTTGTGGGTATACGCTTTCAAGAGACAAAATTCCCCTTGTCTTGTTGGTCTCTAAGGTGTTACTGGACTCAAACTGAGCCGTTCTACTACCGAGCAAAATGGCCGCCTTCTTAATGGCCTGGGAGCTTCCTCATAGATTCCATTCGGCCCAGGCAGATTTTCACTGGCTGTCACAGAATCGTGCTATCCTCCCCCTCCCCCTCCTCTGACTTCTCTCTTGGTGATCTGCAGGACTTCAGGCTGCAACACTGCCATTTTTTTTTTCCTTCCATAAAAAAGGCCAGCATCGTTTTTGTTCAACGGGTTGATAACCAACCAGCTGTGGGTGGTCTGGGATGGAGAACGGGGTTCATTCTCAAGGAAGGGGATCCCGCCTCCTCCTCTTCTTGCCTGAAGAACATATCCTAAATCAATAATCAATTAACACCGTGAGGCACGCGAGCTTGCTCTGATTCTCCCATCGAAAAGAAGTCCAATAGACATGGGATTCCCCCACCCCCATGTCACGTTGACGATCGATTAATGAACCCTCAACCCGTTCTTTACGTCTTATGCCAAGTTGCTGTCCGACCGCGTCAGGCTAACGGCGTTCAATTGACATGCTATCCGGGGAGGCAGAGTTTGAAGAAGGAAGATTCTAATGGGGATTTGAGGGAAAATGAGGGGGAATGCATTCCTTGTCCGAGCACGAATTGAAGTGACTCAGTAAGCCGGCAAAATCAGCAATTTGGTTACACTCATCTGTCAGTCCAATTTTTGCATTCAAATGAACAATTGATTCCATTTAACAGAACTTCAGGACGCAACTCTTCTTCTCGGTGGGAGACATGATTTATCTAGGGGTTGATTTCCCATCCATGATGACTTTTTTGTCATCCTTGTTGTTATTCTGGCCTGCACAGTCTCTTGACTGAAGCAGCCATCCAATTTCATTTCATTTTATTTGTCACAGGTCCACCTCACGATCCGTTGGGCCTTCACAAATAGCCCCTATAAAGCCCTTACTGTTGCATGCTAAATTAGCATCGGAGCTTATAGCAGAGTAAACAGCGGGGTAGTCAACTAAAGGGGAGGGGAATTCACCATGGATAGAAGATCAGTCTGAAAAGTAGCTGTGTCAGTCGGCACAGAGACCCGGGTGAAGGTGAATAGGATCCTGGAACTAGAGAAATGGGTATTCTCCTTTCCCCACAGAGAGAACAAGCACTTCCTCTCCACAAAGCAAAGCAAATGAGAGCTGTGCTAAATCTTCATAGGTAAAGGTAAAAGGTAAAGGTTTCCCTTGCTCAAAAGCCAGTCGAATCCGACTCTAGGGCTGCGGTGCTCATCTCCGTTTCCAAGCCGAAGAGCCAGCGCTGTCCGAAGACGTTTCCGTGGTCATGTGGCCGGCCTGACTAAACACCAAGGTGCATGGAACACTGTTCCCTTCCCACCGAAGTGGTACCTATTGATCTACTTGCAGTTTCTTGCTTTCGAACTGCTAGGTTGGCAGGAGCTGGAACTAGAGACGGGAGCTCACTCCATCATGCAGCACACTCGGGTCTCGAACTGCTGAACTACCGACCTTCCACAGCCTGCAGTTCAGCGTCTTAACCACTTGAGCCACCGCAGCTCCAAATCTTCATAGGACTTTCATCCTAACTGGGGTTGCCATCTCTTGGTTGAGAAATTCTCGGTGATTTGGGGGAGGCGGAGCCTGCAGAAGGTGTGTTTGGGGAGGGGGAGGACCTCAGTAGGGTGCAATGCCCTGGAGTCTACCCCCCCCCCAGAGCAGCCATTTTCTGATCTCTCTGTAGTCTGAAGATTATTCTAGGAGCTCTCCAGGCCCCACCTGGAGGTTGGCAACCCCAAATTCTAACCACAGTTTCTTGGATGGAAGCACCATTTCTTTCCAAGTGGATAGACGTTCCAGGTAGGCATGGTTGGTCCCAGGGCTTTTTTTGTGTGTGTGCTTTTTTTCCCAAAGAGGTGCCGGAACTCTCAAGAGGGAGACGAAGTTTTCAATCTGCATACTGAAAACTCGTGGACTTTTAAACATTTTTAAAAGAATTTTGTCAAAGAGGTTCCGGGACTCCACTTCCGGCACGTTCCCCCAGAACAAAAAACCCTGGTTGATCCAAAGAAAAACCAGACACAAAATATACGTTTTCCGCAGTGTCGCGTTTCCCCCCTGCCTACTCTTCTATTCAGGAGCTGCGGTGGCTCAAGTGGTTAAGACGCTGAACCAAAGAAAAACCAGACACAAAATATACGTTTTCCGCAGTGTCGCGTTTCCCCCCTGCCTACTCTTCTATTCAGGAGCTGCGGTGGCTCAAGTGGTTAAGA